TCGTTTCGCACTGCCGTGCATAAGGCACAGCAGCAGTGACATAGCCAAGCGACGCATTTGCCTGCCGACAGCAGGCACATCTTGTTCAGGTACATTTGTTTCATACATAGAAGCGTCCGCCATGCATGTGAATACCGATGCGTGCCCTTCTGCATTTTTTGTTTGAATACGAAAACACTTTTCCTTGCTTCGCTGATGCAGAAGTGAGCCCTAAAGCTTCCTATGCCGTGAACCGCAGGGAGACAGGCTTATCATCGTAACGTTCTCATCAACACCAGCTGCCTTGAGGAGCATTTAAAAGACTGCTGTTGTCATGAGGCATTTAGTGCTGCTGCCAGCAGCAGTGTTGCTGCTGCTATTGATAACGGCTTCCGGAGGTACGTACCGAAATAAAACATGGAAACCTCAGAGTGTCGTAACAAATAGTAATGGTATGCACCACAAATTTTTCACTACCGACGAAATAGACAATACCGGTACTCGAAGTTGTCAGCAGACGAACTGCCCTACTAGTAGGTACACATGGAAGACGTATAGCATCCTGAGAATGCTCATGCACCAAGCTTAGCCATGATACGATTTCCTCACCTTGTGCTAAAGGTCGCTCGGCTTTACTAAATTCCGCCGAAACGACTGTATTGATCAGTAGCTCTCCTGGGTTATATAACAAGTAAGGAAAAATATGAATGTATGCTTGAGGCCCGCCAATTTGGCTTTGAAAGCATCCAACCTTTGCACCGTTGGGACTTCACGTTGTCTCCTGCCTCCATGGCTACTGCTGCGCAACCATGCATGCCACAGGTTTTTGCCAGGAGGTTGATGAGGCCACTGAGTCCAGCAGCCCGCCTTCTGGAGGAGCCCCTCCTGAAGACGATTCCTCTGTCGTGGGCATTACCACCACAGCAGTGGATGTGTCGGGCGAGCTCCTGTTCCTAGACACCCAGTCGCAGAGCACAGGTCGATGGGCCATCCGCAAGGGTGATGGCTCCCTGATATCCATTGCGTTTGGATACGAGCCGCCCAAAACAGACGAGCTTGGACAGGCCGTCATGCCTGGGGCGCTGGTGACTATTGTAAGTGACTGCTTCACTACCGGCGATGTCTATGTGCCCATGCAGCGCAACATTGCATAGTGTATGTAGCTAGTGCTCCAAGCAATCCTCCAAACCATTGGCCATTGTGTCCACGCTTGTGGACAGCTGGTGGCTGCCTTGGCAAGTAAAGCCTGCCATTATATTGTAGCCAAGTGGCAGGTCGCATTCAGTTGTCCTCACCAGGATGTTTGCATGTGTAGCTGTCCTTTACCATTTAATCAATGCAAGCTTTCTGACCCATCCCTCCAGTGCCTGATCGCTGCCATCATGTCACATACTCAGTTGACCGATCCGTATGGACGGATGAAATCGCTCTTAGGGCAACAATTAGAAGCCAATCTTTGCCCAGTCCTCTTTACCTATCACGCCCTATATCTTTTCCTTTCTCGCAGTCTTGTGAGATCGACGTCTTTGGCGTCTGCAACCCAGCTGCTGGGGAGAGCACCCTCATCTTATCCCCACAGCCCCTGCTCTTGCCAGACACTGGAACGATCTACCAGCGCTTGCTTGTAATTATCCTGGATTATGCTGATTGCGGTCTGCGTGCATCACTTAACGAAACAACTGTGCGTTCCTCCTTCCTGGGGCCCAAGGGTGACGGCAGTGGTGGTGTCGCATGGAGGTACACAAAGTGCTCATATGGCAAGTTTAACTTGAATGTCACGGCATTCAATGTGGTCACCGTCAAAGGCAGCTGCGCAGGAGGTGTGTTAACCACCTGTAACATATTCTACGCGACTTCAAACGCTGACAGCGGAGCAAAGGCGCTGCTCGGAAATGCGTCGTATTCAAGCTTTACCCACAGGTTATATTTCCTTCCACCCGGTATGGCGGGTGTATGTCCATGGTCTAGTCTGGCGGCTTTGCCTGGGAATCAGATCTGGCTACAGACGTCACTCGTATCAAACTGGGGGATGATCATGGGCGCGAACTTGCGCAACTACGGTAAGGCCCTACACGCCATTTGCTGTGTATAAGCGAGTTAAGTGTACTCCGCAGTTTCTGAATAGGTGCTGACGTCATAGTCGACTATGCGGCCAATATATACGGGCGGATACCTTTAGGACAGGTGACCTTAAGACGTGTTCACATGTAGACGAATTAGGGTTGATTATGCGAATTGGACTCTAAATTGGAGCCAATTGGGCCTGAATCTGAATTGGGGTCTGGGGACGGGGATGAACTAAATGGGAACCCCTTGTCCCTGCGCGGGGTAAGGTTCAGCGTAATTGATGAAATCTATTCTCTAGGGAAGGCCGTTTAACAAGCCGTTTCTCATACGTACGTCCATGATAATACATGAACAATTTCCACTTGGTAATTGTCGTAGTCGCTCACCTGGTGGCACGTGGAAGCGCTTCCACGCTAGCGGAAGCTTAGAGCTTAAAGTCCTCGCTGAGCTGGGAAAGAGTCCACCCCAGCGACAGGCATTAGCGTACATAGACAAGTATGAAGTAATTAAGACGGCGGCAGCGGAGTCTTGAACTCCGAACACAGATCACCCCGCCCGGGTAGCTTATATCCCGGTCTACCTGCCGGACGAATCCCTACTACGGACCTGCCGTACTAGGATACTGTTGATGGGGCCCGAGGCCCCAGCTCGTTAGGTTCGCTACGAGCAACCGCCATCTTCATGACATGTCGCGATAGTACGTGACATGTACGAAACTTGAGTCGAATCGCCACCGAAATTAACAGTTATTGTTATCGATAATCGCTGAAATATTCTAAGGGAATTGTAGCCTGCTACAGTAATTACACAAAGCGCACCGAGTATTCTTCGCCAAAAGTTGCAGCAGCGATACAGTACAGCGAAGGCTGGCGATGACATCGATCAAAAAGGGCATAGCTATAGAGTCATATCCTTAAATAATGCTGGCGGCTGTCATGGGCAAAATGCGACTGTGCGACATTTTGTGCTGCGATCGCATGTGATTGCAATTCGAACCGGAAGGACGGAATTGGCTGGGCTTGCAGTCATTGCTGAGATGATGATCATACTCCAAATTACATTACATGTGAACAAAATCTTACCCGTTTCTGGTGTCTGCCCCGCCGTCAAATCATGGCGTTCTTCCTTTTTGTGTATATAGATTTGGCTATCTATCTACCTTCACACATTGCAGTATTTGCCAGTTGCCAGACAATATTAGGGGGTGTTTCCACTAGGATCAAAAGTCACGGATTAAGGTATTTTAATTCCGCATCAATCTGCCGCTAATCCACGGGAGTCCTTCAAAGGTCTGGCGGGATTACGTCGCCAGAGAAAAGGCGGAAAGGCGGATTAAGTACAACAATTGCCATGCTTTATAAATATAATTATATTCCGTGCATGAAATGCAAATGCGCAATAAGTGGTCTGGCGCTGGCCAATGTGTGCTTAAAATTGAGGTGCTGCAGGGAATTTTAGATAAGCAGGGACCATCCCTAAGATATAGGCAGGGACCATCCCCCCGTATATGCGAGCGCGCGCAATGTATAGGCGTTGGAAGTTTTCACAGACGTTGCTTGCAGCACACTGCGCGCCATTTATCGTACATCCAAACAAGATAGCCGTACCCCATACGTGCATCTTCCATGCCCTTGCACAGGTCTATCGGGAGCTTACCAAAATGGGCAAGTGTATACTGACGGCTCTACTCCCTTAGGTTCTGGAACAGCTTGCCCCAGCGCCCCCGAATTGGCTTACCTTGGCTGGGCCACACCTGCGTCAGGAGGCAATCGTCTTGACTCCAAAGCACTGCCAGTACGCACGGCCGTCACCTTCACTCTACCAGCTACTTACTTGACCCGCGAAGGAAACTACCTCCGAGTTGTACCTGACTGGCTGCTGTCGTATCAGAACACCTCCCTTGCGAAGAACCTATACATTGCTGTACGATCTAACAAGGGTGGCGACGACTTACTTTCATCATTATACGCCAACAAAGTGAATATTCACGAGATCAATGCGGACATGGTGAGTTCGTGCCATGCGTTCCGTCTATTAGCTATAGTAAACAAGGAAGGCCAATCTACCGGTAGTAGGCTCGTGACATATATGTCACGATATAGAAGTAGCCTCTTATGACAAGCATTGCCGAAGTTTGACAAACATTTGCCGCATTTGTCAAACCTAAGCGAGACAACATTTTTCTTGGAGATTTGCGGCCCGATAACATTTTGTGATCTTTGTTGATTTCTGTAATTTCTGTGATTTTTTGTTTTGTTGTTTTCTTGTTTTTTTTATCTTTTTAATTTTTTAATTTTTATTTATTTTCAATATCGATCTTGTCCTGCTATATTATACAGGGGCTGTCCCTGTCTCGTATACAAGGGCACGATCTGTAGACCAGTAAAGGCATTACACAAATCCTACACACCGACACAAGCCTGTAATGCACACCTAGCCGTAGCGGTTAGAACCGAAGAATTCTTCATTAGTGATCCAACTCAGTCCACAGCAGTCCTCCTACTAGTAATGCACGCCATTTCTAGCTCCCTCCCATTTGGAATGTGCGATGGTTTTTGCTTCTACAGTACCCGATTGCTCCCTGTTACTGACTCATATTTGGCTCCCGTCCCATGCCCCCGTGTCCAATGTATACACAGGACAACAATCCAGGGGCATTCAAGAGTATGAACCGCGATATTAACTTAATCGCCATCACCCCACCACTCACTCAGACAAACCTGACAGCCTACAGACTTGTCGTGTATGGTGGATTATGGGTGGACTCCGACATCCTCAGGGTGTACCTCTGCCGTTATGAGGCATCTCCCAAAGAATGCCCCTCCTTAGCATCACTCTTTGTACAGCGGCCACCACCACCGAGCCCACCGCCACCAGCAAAGCGCCGGAACCCAGTAACGGCCAGCCCGGCCCCCCCCAGCACCGTTAACAACGTTGCTGCATCAGGGGCGGTGACGGTGTCTGGCGAGCTCGTTTTCGTGGGCACCGATTTGGATCAAGAAGTACAGTGGGTTATCCGCCAGGAAGATGGCTCCCTGACACCTATCGCATTGGGGTATAAGGCCCCCGAGACTGATGACCTCGGACAGTCCGTGGTGCCAGGAGCGCTGGTGACTATTGTAAGTTGTCGTTTTACGTGTGCATGATTTCCCTCTGTTGACATTTATTCATTCAGAGGACTGCAGAAGGTTAAACATATGATTGACAGATGTACCATGCCTTCTAGGTTGGGGAGAAAGCAATCGTGTAGGCAAGCCCATCCTTCATGTGGTCCTGCCTCGATTTCCTTGTTGCATATCCGATTACCAGCACACTCGGTGGCATTGACGTACGTCTGTATTTTTTCCGGTCGTCTATATAGGTAGTACCTGTCGTCACTTAAGGAATATACACCGCTTACCTGCCGCCAATGCTTGCAGCAGTGGCTGTTGGCCTGATGGGTGTCAACCAGCGTGGCCACCTGAAGTAGAAAAATAAAAAAATATGTTTAACACTTTTCATGATATTGCTATATAGCAATAGCATGGGAGGATATACCCTTCCTTCAAAGTTTGGGGTAGTAAGCATTTTTTATGCCTGAATCTTTGCTGAAATTTTGCCTCGAATTCGTACATTGGGTACTTGCGTGTTATTGACAATCCCTACCCATATGGGTAGGTGATTGACAATCCCTACCCATATGCATATTCCAAGCCCATCCGAAAACTGCAGCATAGGTAAAGTGCATGTTCTAAATTTTGGGCACTATAGTCGTATTACCAAAATGCTAGGATAACCAGTTTGCAAGGGGTATCTCTCGGCCAGCCTTCCATTCTTCCAACTTTGAAGATCGACCAAATCGTGCCGTCCGGCCGATTTTCGGTCCAGATGCAGAAGAGGAAATAGCAGGATTCTACTCGCTTACCAGGTGGCCAGACTGGCGCCAGTCAAGTGTTGCTGCTTCTTGCAATAATTGGTCGTGTGAAAGCTGGACCTACCATAGAGATGTACTACCTGGAAACATAACCGCTCACTACTCCTCCATTCCTTCCCATGCATATCGCAGTCGTGTATTATCGATGCCCTTGGCAACTGCAAGCCCGTGCCAAGCTCCAAGACAGTTGTCAGATCGGCGCAGCCCGCTTTCTTGCCTGACAACCAAGTGATCCGTCCACGGATGCTGATCATTATCCTAGATTACTCAACCTGTGGTGTACCCGCCACAATCAATGAAACAACTGTGCGCTCAATTTACCTGGGACCCAATGGTGACGGCAGCGGTGGTGCCACAGAGAAGTCCAAACAATGCTCATACGGCAAGCTCAACCTAAATACCACAGCATTTACAGTGATAACCGTGAAGGCCAGCTGCTCGGATGGGGTCGTGCAAACTTGCAACCCCATGTATATGCAGAAAACTGGTGATGCTGCAGCGAAGGCGAGATTAGGGGAGAAGGCATTTTCAGAGTTTACACAAATTGCATACGTACCCCCAGCACAATCGCCTTGCTTCTTTGCATCAGTGGCGCTGACACCTGGGAATAGGATGTGGCTAACGACCGCCGGATCCAATGGAGGCGCATACAAGTGGTCCGCAATCATTCGCGAGACAATCGCTAACTATTACGGTGAGGCCTTCAAGGGTGGATCGGCGGTCAAGGTTAGCAGAGCTATGTGTTTATAAGCTTAAAGTCCGTCAAATGAAACCTTAGCAGAGTTATGTGTTTATAAGTTTAAAGTCCGTCAAATGAAAATTTATTTACTGCATTTTCGTGCCTTACCGCTTATGGACGAAGAGGTACCTGCAGGCAGGAAAGTGAGTGCTTGCTTCGGTGGGGCCTCCCCCGGGGGAGGCGAGCCTGGTTGCCGATGCGACGTTTTTGGGATGCTGTATGTTAGGGAGGAGCAGCAGATCAGATTAATTTCGCAAGTGCCTCGTGTCAGTACTGACAGGTTTCCTCTAGAGGAATGTCGCGAAATTACCGTTCGGTTCCATCTATTTCCGCCCTGCACTTACCCATGACATTCAACCGAGTTCACTCTCGACAAATGCACAGAGGGCCTTAGTATTTTTCGTTTTCAGTCAGGACCTATTGTTTTATTTGCGCTTATTATCCGTTTCGTGCTTCACCTGCCCAGCTACCAATAAAACAATTAACGGGAGATACCCAAGTAGATATCGAGGTATCTTAACGATGCCGAAGTGGTTCTGCATGGCGACGTCGGTAAATCCTTTTGTGTGGTTGTGCCCTGAAGGGCCAGCTTGCATATGATCACGCCCCTGACTGCCCCTACACAAAGGCACGATCAACAGAAGATAGGAGGATATACGACTCTTGTCTTCACACACTATGCAAACGAGTAAAGCAATAACAGCCCTCACCGCACGCGTGTTTCTATGCAGGTTATTGGGACAAATGGGCGGCCTTATACAACGATGCCACCACCCTCATGGGAACGGGAGATGCCTGCCCCAATGCCGCTGAGTTGGCCTACCTTGGCTGGGCTACACCCGCGCCAGGCGGCGACCGCATTAATTCAAAGACACTGCCGGTAGGCACTGGCCTTAGCTTTAGACTACCTGCTACCTACCTAAGCCCAGATGGAAACTACCTCCGGGTCGTCCCCGACTGGTTGCCATCATATGGCAACAGCTTGAACTCCAAGAACTTGTACATCGCCGTCCGAGTCAACAAGGGCGGCGATGCTCTGCTGGACAAGAACCTGTATGCAAACAGGGTGCATATTCACGAGGTTAATGCGACAGTGGTGAGTTGGTGGCATCTTTCAGTGGAACTGATTCACGAGCTGAAGGGGAAAGCCAGCACAAGGTATGTATATATAAATAGATTATAGTGTACATATATATGTACCCTGTGTACCTGGTGTACCTGGTGTACTACACTACAATCTGGCGAGCCTCGTGGCAACCAGCATCCATGTGTATCGTCATGCTTCAAGCATACATCCTGAAGCTTCCTTAAGGAAGCTTATGGACTGGCATGTTGTACCCTTGCCAATCAACCCAGCAATGCTGAAAGTTTAAAACAAATTGCGTTCCCTGCCTCCCTTACCTAACGTTTGCACCTGCCCTTTAGGACAACTCAAATCAGAACGGTGACCAGAAGCTCGGCCCCTTCACTGCCTACGTCAACGCCATCACACCTCTCAGCCAGACGAGTTTGACTGCATACAAGCTTGTCGTGTACGGTGGATCCTGGGTCAGCACTGACATCCTCAACGTACACCTCTGCCGCTATGAGTCTTCTCCTGAGGAATGCCCCTCAGTTCGCTCCCTTGAGTCGAAGCCTCCGCCACCGAGTCTTAGTCCCAAGCCATCCACGGGTTCTGCACCCAAGCCGCCACTGAGCAAGCAATCAGGCCCAGTAGCATCACAGCAGTCACCTCCCCGTGGTACAACCACCGCAGTTGTTGCGCCCACAGTAGTCTATGTGTCGGGCGAGCTCGTCCTTCTGAACTCCCATGTTTCACCTCAGTGGACCATCAGAAAAAGTGATGGCTCCCTGACACCCATCGCATCGGGCTATGAGCCACCCAAGACAGATGACCATGGACAGCCCCTGGTTCCAGGAGCACTGGTGACTGTAGTAAGTCTTAAGATGCAATATACCATTATTAATTTGCTCATATCATTACCATTAATTGCTGGAAAAGCCTTTTCACTGCTATCCCTTGAAAGCCCCTTGTTAGGCACAACTTTACCTACCGTGTTCCTGATGACAAAATTACCCCTCCCCTTGCTTAATTGTCCATCTTCACTTCGTTCGCAGCCATGCTACATTGATGCCCTTGGTGTCTGTAATCCAGTGCCGGGCTATAGTACCGTCGTCTTATCCGCGCAGCCACTGCTCCTGCCGAACACCGAAAGAATCATCCAGCGACGATTGGTGATTATTGTGGACTACTCATCTTGCGGCTTTCCGCCTTCTTATAATGAAAGCGTTGTACGTTCGCAATTCCTTGGGCCGAATGGCGACGGCAGTGGCGGCGTCGCGAAACAATTCACGCAGTGCTCTTACGGGAGATTTAACGTGAACCCCGCAGCACTGAAGGTAATAACTGTGAAGAGGAACTGCCCGGTGGAGGCGACGTTAAAGTCATGCGCAGTCTTACTATTGACCAACGATGTCGACAACGGAGCAAAGGAAATGCTAGGAAACGCGGCATTTGCAGGCTTTACCCATAAGACGTACATCTTACCATTCGGCCTCACCATGTACTGTTCTTGGGCGGGCCTAGCGTTGCTGCCTGGCACTCAATCGTGGGTGATGAGTACGGGCTATGGACTGGAGCGAGTGGCGACGATCATGCAGGAGATAGTTCACAACTACGGTAAGGCAGCTGTAAGGGTGGAGTGTTGCTGCGTCGCATGAGGAAAAGCAGTCTGTAGGGCTAGTAGTTGGCCTTGGTGTTCCGTGCTGCTGTATTAACTATTGTACTCCTAAGGCGCTTGAGCAGTAGGATTCAGCCGTGTAGCAGGGCAGGGAATGTTTGTCCACAGAGAACGGCGAAGTGAAAGAAGTGAACACCCATATGAGTACTCAGATTTGGAAGACACATAACAATGGAATGGTGACTGCAGGGTCTTAAACCCCAAACACGAACATCATGATACTTTACACTTTCTGCCTGGCCATAGCACCGCCACCTATATGTGGCTCACCTAATGTATTCCTGGCGTCGTGATCTGATGTGATGATCGTCGCGTCACGATACAGCATCGCTCCGTTAACTGAAGACGATCCGTACAGTTTATGTAGCGTACTACAGACACACTGTGAAATGGCTCATAACCTATTTCGTTAAGTACTAGGTTTTTTGCCTCATATAGCCTTGATTTCCTATGCAATGTGGTGTACAAGCTACTAAGATCTTATAAGATTTTTTTATTTAAGATCTTATAAGATTCTAGAACTAATTAGTTCTAGAACTTCCAGGAACTTTGTCTAATAATAGGAAGATAATTCCGTTAAATTGCCACATAATGTCTGAATGGAAATGTTAAAATGATGTTAGAACCTAATACGAGGTAAAGGTGGCTCTATCGTGAGTTTTGTGCTTTCTCCTGTACACCCCATAAAAACCGCCGCACGTCTTCTTGCCATGCATGCGCGTTCGCCTTCCTCCACCAGGGCTCCGGCATTCGTGGCGAAATGACTGGGAGTACGCGGATTACTCCACTTTCATGGGCCGTGGAGATGTGTGCCTCAATGCCCCAGAATTAGCCTATTTGGGCTGGGCAACACCCGCACCAGGCGGTGACCACATCGACTCAGAAGTGTTGCCAGTAGGCACTTCTATCACCTTCAGCCTCCCTGCCACCTACCTTTCCTCTAATGGCAGCTACCTCCGGGTTATCCCCGACTGGCTGCCGTCGTACAATAACATTAGCAGTGGCAAGAACCTGTACATCTCCGTACGAGTCGACAAGGACGGGGATGCTTTACTGCAACCCGTGTTCGCAAACAAAGTTAATGTTCATGAACTCAATGCATCCCTGGTAAGCCCGCGGCCGTCTCGTTTCTATGTATTGAATGTAATGTGACAGCTTTTATATATATAAAAGCTTTTATATATAGAAGCTAACAGTTATCATGCCTCTAATGAACCCGAATTTAACTTTGGCTACTAGTTTATGTAACACATTAATGCCATAAACCTCCACAGCTGCATGCATGCCTCTAGAGGCAGAGATCTCTGAAAATCCACCCACCAGCTTTTTTGGCTTCCTATGTACGTCCCAGCTATGCTTCCTAGCCCCCTTCTTGTATTCTCTACACCCCCATTGACACCATAGCTCATCTCACTGACTTTGATTGGCCTTGGCCAATTACTATGCCGCAGGACAACAATATCTTGGCGCAACCCCTCGTCGACCGTAAGATTCAATTCATCACCGCCATTCCACCTGTTAGCCAGTCAATTTTGACCACCTACAAGGTTGTCGTATATGGCGGATCCTGGGTTGGCGACAAGGACGTTCTGAGAGTGCACCTCTGCCGCTACGAATCCTCCCCCAAAGAATGCCCGTCCCTGAATGCTCTGGAACTGCTCCCTTCACCACCATCCCCCCTGAAACCGCCGCCAGCCAGCCCCCGACGGCCGTCTAGCCCTCGGCCACAGCCCATCAGGGCCAGCCCCAGCAGGTCCCCGCCACCAATACGCAAGGTAGGACAAGGGCGGCTTCAGATCTGAGCATACATCTAGATGTATGCATCGACTACATGTCATTATATTATTCCACATATTTAGTTTAAAGATGATGACCATTCGGCAAGCTTGGCCTGAAACCATGCTTATATGTCTGTAAGAATTCTTTTAAATTAAAATTATTATAAACTTATTCTATGGATTGCAGCCCGGTACAATTGATTGGACGGTATCTATCTATTACAATACCAGGGCACGATCTATAGACAATACACATTAATGGACGTAGTAAGCTTCATGAAGTGAGAGCAAGCAAGCATATGCCATCAGGCATACGCCAGCAGGTGTGCACCTGCAACATGTTGCAAGCACACGGCTGCTGCATTTGTGTTGTAGTCCGCTGATGTGCATAATTTTGCTCCCGCCGTTCCAACCTGTTGGTATCTCCCTCCTCGTTCAATGAAGTAAGCCAGGTGCTCACTGGCTTTCTAACAGGTATGATGCTTGACCTTGCCTGTGTTTGCTTTCTCCCACATAGGGCCGTTAATATCGTTACACAAGCTCGTCAGGAAGGCCGCCCGGGGAGTCCATGAGATGCATAGCAGCAGTACAACTACATCATGGTGAACATGCATGTTCACGGTGTACATATGTACACGACGGCCGCAGCCTGCACACATCTGATGAACACTGCAACCTTGCAGACAACTTGAGCCTTCGATATTTGTGTGCTTATAGTGCTGACGGTGCTCTATCGCGCTATCTATGTACTGTATTCTTTAGAGACCTACAGCTAGGTCTAGGCCTTTAAATTTAGTGGTCATGAGTAGAATCTTTGAGTAAGAACACCGGCGTATCTTTTTCATGGATCAGTTGTCCATGGCCTCCTGGGGCTTGGACGGAACCCCCCGCACACGATCGTGTGGAACATGGAACTTGTAACTTGTAGTTGTCGACCGACACCAATGGCTAATGGCTTACACAGTACTTCGCACTGAAAGTATTGTCATTAAAGCCTTACGAACACATGCCTCATTTGTTCAATTTCGCCTCCATGGTGCACGTTTGTCTGTGTTTTTGAGATCGTTTTATAGTCGTTTGTTTATGTACATAAACATAAACATAAACATAAACAAACATGTTATCGCCTGGCTTAACAGTACCCAGGCCCGCTCACAAGGCCAGCCGACTGGAAAACCGACCGACCCTTTTTTATGTGCGTGTATGTTTGTGGGTGTGCAGGCGGGTGAGTGGATATTTGGGTGCGTGTCCGTGGGGGGTACATGCGGAAGCAGCCATGCATGCATAATCCCAATCACAAAGGACTGGCTGATGGGCACTAGTATGTCACCCGCTGAGTAGGCGACGATGCTTGATGTTGATATCTGCTGTCTCCATCATGTGGACTAGAAATTTTGTTTAAATGGACACAGACACGTGTAAGATAGAAGCAGCTACGCGACCTTTTTCCGCAAACCATCCCCTATATTCCCTTCAAACATTTTGTGTGAAACCTCCGTATGTAGGCGTGATGCTAATATAAATTAACCATGCCAAGCGGGCGCACTGGAACCCTTTTTATCTGGTGCGTGTATATACACACATATATGTGTGTATGCATGCATGTTCTGCATCCACGCGTGCAATACCTGTGTAGCAGTCGCTCACCTGGCGGGACGACTGGCTTTGCGGAAGCGTGGAATTTAGAGTCCTTGCTGAGGCAGGAAGAAGTCCAACCCAGCGACAAGCACTAGCGTACATAGACGACTACGAAACAATCTGAGACGGCGGCAGCAGAGTCTTGAACTCTGAACACCAAGTAGTCGTGATACTTAAGTGCCTGGCCATAGCACCCCGCCCGGGTAGCTTATATCTCGGCCTACCTGCCGGGGATTCCCTACGACGGTCCTGCCGTACTAGGATACTGTCGGTGGGGCCCGGGGCCCCAGCCCGCTGGGTTCGCTACAAGCAACTGCCATCTTCGTAACATGTTACAATAGTACGTAACATGTACGAAACTCGGGTCAAATTGTTAACGAAGTTAACAGTTATTGTTAACAGTAATCGATGAAATATCTAAGGGAAATGTAGCGCACTACAACCTGGTTAACAAACTGCGCAGAAGGTTAGTATTAGGGATAATGAACAATCCCTACCGCATGTTATTGGCCCGATAATGGGAACGCCTGGTAACCGGCCTCGATTACCAGGCTATAAGGTTACTGGGCTGTTAACGGGCTAGGGTCGTTAATCGGCCAGTTACCCGTAATCAGGCTCCATTACCAGGGTGGTTTACCAGGGTCGTTTATCGGGCGGCCAGTTACAAGTTACCCGGTAATCAGGCAGCATTATCGGGTGTTTACCAGGTCCTTTATCAGGCGGCCAGTTACAAGAATGTCCCCGGTAATGGGGCAATAACATAGATATTATCAGGACGTTAACCGACCAAACTCTTACGCATTAAACAGCGATTACCAGCTTCATAGCGGGTTCATATTATCCTACACAAAGCATTGCCCAATGGCCTACTACAACCTCCTCACATCTCTCAATCGGTACCACGAGGACTATAGGCCCTTCTTTAGTCAACATTAAGAATCACTTGAAACTGCAGGCTGTCGCGTCATACGACTGTAGCACTGAACAAAACACGTGCGTACGGCAGACTATAAAAGACGATTATAAAAGACGGTAAAATGAACGTGACGCTAAAATGTCGTGACAAGGCGCCCTCCAGGTTCCTGATCACTGCCCGCGGTCTGCTACCTCCGCTGCTTCTTCAGTCCCCCCTTCCGAATCTCCGCCATGGCCTTCTTGCCCTTCTCCTGCGGCACCTTAGCCCCGCGGGTCTGTACAGCTCGGCCTTTACCGACACCAAGCGATTCCCTCCTCTTTGCGGGGTTTGACGCTGTTGCCCCGAAAGCCGAAGGGTCCTCCGGCAACACCAGTGGGGTTTCCTTAGGGCGTGGACGCTTGGTTCGTGCAGGCACCACCATGGCCACCGTTTCTTGGCTCTCCCGCGCCTTCGCCGAGGGTTGCCTCAGGCGCGTGGGCCGCCCTCTGGCATCCAATGCCCCTACAAAAAGTGAGAGTGATTCATAAATTAATTTTTATATGAAGTCGTAATTTATTGCCTTGTTGTTAGTAAGTTCCGTGTGTAGTCATAACTTATTGTCATGTTGAAGCTACAATTTACCTTTGTCATGTTTTCCGGTCACCAGGACCTTGCGGCGCCCAGTTGGTTGAGGCGCGGACTTGCTGTGGACCTTCTGGCTCTTGCTTCTGCCGTACTCCTCGAGCAGGACTTTGCCCCCCGTCCCCTCGTCATCCTCCCCTCCCTCGTCCTCCCCTCCCTCATCCTCCCCTCCCTTGTCCTCCCAGTCCTCGTCCTCCCCGCCCATGTAATCCCCGCTCTCGTACGGCCAGTCCCCGTCCTCCCCACCCTCATCCTCCCCGCCCTCATCCTCCGCGCACTCGCCCTCGCCCTCGTCCTCCCCGCCCTCGCCGTCGTCCTCCCCGCCCTCGCCCTCGTCTTCCCTGCCCTCGCCGTCGTCCTCCCCGCTGTAGTCCCCATCATCTCCCTCATCCCCATCCTGGCGGCTGCTCTTCTGGCCGAGGGGCTCCTGCTGCGTCTCCATAACGTTGGCCTGGCCTGGGGGGTTGTACATTTTGTTGTGAAGTTAGGAAGGGATACAAGCAACATTATGTATTGCATGACAGGGAAGTTTCAAGTAGTTAATGTACATTACCTTCATGTCTGAACTTAGTAACAACGCGTGGGTATTTAGCTTTTACTGAGCAGTGGCATTCACTTACCCTCCGTTGCCGCCGTGTGGTTGCTCTTCTTGCGTTCCTGACCTGCAAAAGAGAACACGGAGGCACAGATTGCAAGTGAGGTTGAGGTCGTCTTGAGGTTGAGGAAACGTCCACGTTTTTCCTTTGCATGCATTACCTGCTGGCTGAGTGCTGCCCTCGACATGGGCAGTCACCCACTCCTTAAAGAGCTCGGTCGCACGGACGGCGTCCATGGTCGCCACGGTCTCGAGCTTAGCCTTGTCTGCAGTCGTCAGTCCGATGGCCTTGAAGAAGTCCGACTTCTTCTTCTCTGCATGCATCGGCATCCGAAATGCGGGTTACTCAAACCCTAATGTAAAGATCAGCACTGTGGGAGTGTGAGGTGTAACGCACAGTTTGATTGAATATCTTTTGGTTTCCGAAACATCACCCTGGCTACCTGACTGATGGTTGACCATCGCGTTCTGCAGCTTCGTCTTCAAGGCGTCATAGACAGCGTCGTACGTAGCCTTGTCTTCCTGCTGAAGCTTTGACAGGCTCTCTCCAGTCAGTGACTTGAAGAGCGCCACCATCCACCGCTTCCCCAAGTTCTTAAGGTCAACAACGTCGGTTGTCTTTTTCACCGCGCCCTTAAGCTTGTCCTTCTTCGCCAGTGCGGACGACAGGGTGTCCCAGGTAATCCCAAGGATAAGGAACCTGAAAATGTGCCAGCGTTATGTGATCTTTCACAGAAAAGTACCCATGTCTACTACATCAATCTATGTTGTACCTACCCGCACGTGTACCACTTGTTTATCTTGATGGCGTCGGGCTTCACAATCTTCTTAACGACCCCCTGGTACTTCGATGGTATGGTGGAGGACAAGTGCTTGGCCACTTGCTTGGATTTGGAAGGCTCAGTTCCAGTTGAGGCGTTACTGCATGACATGTCAGTGAGAACGGAAGGAATGGCAAGTGTTGAAATAACATCGTGACAGATTGCAGAGTATCACAAGATAGCCAGCGCATACTGACAGATAGCCTTAGACGGAGATTACATGTGTGAACCCCCCCCCCAGGGTATCCGTAACCTTTCTTTATCAAAAGCTTAGTCTGTTGCCCCCTGTTCTGCATACCCTTATTCCTTACCTGTCCCGGCGCTCGTTGTTGTCCTTGGGGACAAGAACACTAACGAGTTTGATCGATTCCAAGGCGTCGATGCCAAGTGTGGTCACCAGCGCCTTTTGCACGTGCTTGACGCCGCAGTACTCGGTCGCCTTCACTAATTCCGCAATGAACGCGTCCATCTTCATAGCCTTCTGCCGTAGATAGATGCTAAGTTTGTGGGCGACTGGACCACTGATGCCATTGGCGCGGGCCACCGCCGTAACGCCCGGGCTGCCGTCAAGAAGCAAAGGGAGAGATGGAGGAGAGACGTAGTCTTGTAAAACATCCATCAGCACGGAGTGTTCACACGTGAAAAGGTCGGCGGCTTCAAGTAATTCCCAAATGGATAGCTAAGCTACTTACACGTAACCACTCTTTATAATACCCTATCAAAGAAATGTAAGGGGTTTGTTTTCGTTACCGAGTAGGTGGATGGATTGGCTTTGATCTGTACGACTCTGTGTGGTGTATGGCATTCGGGGTGTTTCCACTTGGCCGCACACTAACTTTAAAGTTAGTATTAAAATTTTAAACATTATCTTTAATGTGGACTTAGGGTGCGGCTAGTGGACAGGTGTTTCCACTAAGCGCCCCGGATCCATACGATCGCGACAGGTTGCTTTCAAGGCACCAAACCATTGTTATAGTAAGAGTGGGTGTAATTTATAAATCACAATTCTTTATTGTTTTGTCGGCTAATCGCTGGAGTGTGGGCAATTCGATCGGTCCTGCTGTGAAATCCACTGGCTAGCGGGCTACTTAAATTTGCGGCTGTGGATGAAGGAAATTACAAAAGTCAGCGTAGGGCCTTGAGGAAGGAAATGGCGGACTATGAATTTTCTCGCTCGGAAGTTAATGTCCACTTTGAAAGTTATCAGCAGGTCTGAGGCCCTGATAACTTGTGTGCCACCAATGCGGACTTAGTGTGGGAGGCGTACGCTCTCGTACGCGTACGCACTGGGCCGTTCGGCTTTTCGCGTACGGGGTCCCTTTACGCGATTTCTCGAAGGATATTTACTTTCTACTATTGAATGTAACTAGTTCCTTATCGCTTGCATGATTTTCTGAGCCAGGCGTGAGAGTTTTGAAACTTAATGCTAGTGTGCGGCCAAGTGAAATCACCCTGTTTGTCAGATAATTTAAGGCAACCCTATCCCATATTTTTAAGCTTAGTAATATTTTCTTCCTTGTCTGTCAGCCAGCTGGCGATGTCGGGCACTGCAGATCGGGAAAGTTGGAAACGAATGCTTCCTCCACTCGCCAACTGGAGTAAGTTCCTTTCAATTAATCTGCAACATAACACAAGGCGAAGTACTGTAAACGTATGCTGCACCTCATACTTTGACCGTAATAACGGAAAAGTGTACGGCATCCATATGTTAGACGGCAAGAACCAAGCAGGCGTGTTACATCCTAATTACTTAGCATTATATGTCACCGCTGACGTGAATGAAAATGTCGCCGCGACGGTTCCCTGTCTTCATACTTTCTGTGTTTGCTCTTCTGGTCGTCGCTTGCTACTCGGTATCTACAGATACGCTACCCGAATCCTCACCTAAAACTATAAGTAATGGTTTGGAAAGTTCCTCAGAAACGTCTGCGTCACCTATTCCATCAATTTCCTCTAACCAGGGAAACCCTGTTAACGAAACGATTTCTAACATGGAAATATCTTCAGATGGTGAAAATATAGCTGGGTCGGCACCAGCACCCGTCGCGACAGTTGCCGCCGCAGTAGCGACAGCTGCTGCAGCCGCAGCAGCTGCTGTCGCTGTAACCGATGCTGCAGGACCAAGTCGTAATAGACGACACCGCCATCCACATCCTCAACTCTGCGATGACCCATTTGTCTCAGATTCTGACTTCAACGTCGGCGCTGACGCTGTGACTGGCAGTGGCGCCGTTCGGCACAACCTTTCAGGAGAAGAACAGATAATGAGCGACGATGTGGGCATCAATCCTAATGCAAACGAGGACGCCGACGTTATGTATGGTGCTCAGCAAGTGCAATTCAATGACGATGGCGGAGTTGAGACATCTTTGGGAACCCTTGAATCCGGTACGCATGACGGGTACAACCAACACGGCTGCCTTGTAACGCCGTTGGAGCACGTGTGTGCCGTACGTATCTCAAATTGTAACTTGACATGGCGTTCATGTTCGCAGGGGCCGATTCAAGTGGTCGTTGTCCTGGAGCTGATGGGGCACGTATGTACACACGCTTCATGCGAGTCAGTGTGCCTCCCATGCCTGACAATTCTGTCGCTAAGAAGCTAGTGATACAGGCAGCAATCGACGCCCTGGACCATAAGAACTGCAGTCCAGTGGTCACTGAAACTGTGGTCGGAAACATGCTGCTCATCAAGCGTCGTGATTATAAGGGCTTGGGTGCAAGCCCGGCTCAAAGGCTTGCAGCAGATTGCCTGCCGAAGACATACAAAGAGTCACTCACAATCCTGAGTGACAATGGCTGCAAGTGGCCTCCATTGGCACGCTACTGCATGTGTCCGTGCGGGTTCATATATCGCAGAGAGCATCAGGATTGCCGCCAGTGTCCAGCTATGGCCTTAAAAAATGGTGGCGGTCGCGAGCCATGCCTACGCCGCCGTGAAGAGTCCCGTACACTACTGTACAGCCCAATCTCGCATTACATGGAACGTGTTTACGGCAACCCTGACATAGCAGCTGAGTTTGGAGCCTGGCAGTCCCGGCGTCGTCAAGAGTCAGACAATCCATCCGAACAAGATTGGCTCTGTGACATCATTGATGGTCGACTGATTGATGACCTTCTCTCTGATCCCGAGAACCAGTCATGGAAACAAGATCCCCGCAACCTCATCGTCATGCTTGTCACCGACCCCTTCATAGTGAGTCCCTGTACAAGCAAAGCATGTGATATGTCAAGGGGTTTAGGTTTCTAGCTGTCTGACACGCATTTTTGTATTCGTCATTCTTTTGTGTACGACGTCGGTCACATGAACACCTACCACGCTTATCTTGCACCCCCCTCGACGAATTGTAGGTACCTAGTGATGAGCGACAACGTTCAACAACGCCATGGCTTCTCCTCACCGTCAACGCCTCACCCCAAAAAAGGCACACAATCGGATATGCGTCCGTGCTGTGCCTTATGGGAGGAAACATAAAAGGTCCCGGCGAGGAGCATCCACTTTCTATGGACCACAGTCATGTGCTAGCATTGATAACTGATGAGCTAGCCGTCCTAGGCACCAGGGGTCACACGGTGCATGATGCTCACACCAAGTCCAACTTCACGTGTTACGTGAAAGCAGTGGGCCTTATCTCCGATTACCGTGGTCTACAGAAGCACGTTGGAATCAAGGGCTCTCCTAGCCCCAATGCTTGCTTCAAATGCTGGCACAAGGGGGTAATGATAGGACACAAGGCCATTTACCCTAACCACTTTCCGTGGCTTCCTTTGGCACACGAACTGCGTCCCTTCATGCGCAACTTGCATCTGGGGAACACAAGCAGGCCCTGGCACATCGGGCAGGCGCCAGCACGCGCCCGCAGTTTTGTGGAGATGAAGTATGCGCTGCCGTCTCCTGTTCTTCCAAGCTTCAGTGAAGTTGACGCAGCAAACCGGGGGCTCAAGGAAGCGTGTCCACTATACACCCTGCCAGGTTTTGATCCATCCAAAATGATTCAATACGACGCGATGCACACCATTGGGGGTGTCATCAAGGACGTGGTGGTGCTTGGCATCCAAGGTTTGCGTGCAGCAAATGCCAGTGACACCTTGGTTGAGTACGACTCTGACAACAACATTCAGACCAAGACGGCCGGGGTTGCAGGTATGTCGCATCCCTTGTAAATTTTTGAGCCATCCCGAACAATTGCCATGCAAAGACAAAGAATGATACACATGAAGTCATGGGTGAGTATTGGGGCACTAATCCACCACGTGGTTCTTGGGTGTAGTGTCTGTCCACATCCTTTACCTTGAGGCGGGGCTCTCCACTTATGAACCATGTAGGGTTCAGTCTTTGAACCATGTGATGTGCCCTGTTGTGCTTTTTCTCTGATGGGTACAGGTTCTGAAGAACTCAGCCGCTTCAGGGCCGCCCTAAGTCGCATCGCTAACAGCGCCCCAACCTGGATTGGCTCCAGGTTAAAGAGGCTTACCGCGCCTAACAAGAAAGCCAAGACCCATACATTCTTCCTCCTAGCAGGCCCTGTTGGGGTGTACGCTGTGTCATGCATGCGCCTATCTCAACGCAAAGCTGAGCAGGTGTACGTGGACTTGCTACACGCGTGCTGTGATCTTTGGGATAAGGTTCAGATCAGGTAACATTCACAGTCCTGTGCAAACCAATCACCTCTGGCGCTATACGGTGTTGGGCAGTTTAGTAGGCATACACATCACTTAGGTGCCCTCTGCAAAGGCCAACGTCTCAAGGCTGTGCATCACTAACCGCCATTGCTCCCGAGGCAGGCCGGGGCAAGTCATGTACAACACGGGAAGCTCAGGGTCATTGGCGGGTCAAAAGTAGTAGTTCTAGCCATTAAGACAATGTCATCATACACATATTTCTTAAGAAATGTTGGAAGCTTCCAACATTTCCGTACCATTCAATCGTTCACTGTCACCCTCACCCCCCATTCCTCCCCCTCTCCTCCCCCTCCCTCATCGCTCCCCTCCCCCCCCACCAATGTAGGAGTATGTTGCCAGACTTACGTACCCGGGTGGTGTCAGCAATTTGTGGCGTCGAAGCATACCTTTCTGCAATAAACCTCGACATAAAGCTTCACAACTTGATTCACCTAGTTGACAGCATTGAAGAAGCCGGTAAGCGTCCATGATTGAATGTAATGATGCCATGCGAGCTTCTGATGATGCTATGTTCATGCTTGACCTGTAGGACCTTTGTTTGCTACGTCCATGTTCAACCCAGAATCAATATGGGGTTGTCTTGGAAAGTGGGCGCACAACAAAGCGAACATGGAATCAGCAATGTTCTTTTGCTCCCTGGACAAAGAGGTGACTGTTAGTGTACGACCACAGATCGAAACCGAAGTGAACATCGAATCTGAGGATGAGGGCCGTGGAGCTGATGACACAGATGTTCCTGCATCGCTTTGGACACCAGAGGATTTCTTCGGCAACACACCCGTAATCAAGGAAGGCAGGGTGGCACAGAGAGCATATACCCTAAGCGACATAAGTGTCATCTTGCTTGCGGAGCTAACAGCATTCTATGCTGAAGCAGGGATCGCTGGAGTTGATCTAGATGCAACTGCTGACTTGCTCCAAGTCGTGTCTGTTGGC